GGTATGATCTATGGAAAAATAAAGAAGTCGAACCCACCATGAAATTAGTTGATATTCTCGATTACCCCACATATTACCCAGCGGTATGCCAAGCTATACAAATTGCAATTACTTTACCTGTAACTTCCTGCTCAGTAGAACGATCGTTTAGGTACGGTTTTTACATCAGTATTTTTACAAATTGTATTCAGTGTATAAGTTCATACTTAAAATAACTTTTTAATTATGTTTCAGCACTTTACGCCGCTTAAAGACTTGGATTAGAAATAGGATGGGAAACGAAAGACTGAGTAGCTTGGGGTTGATTAATATACACCGCCAAAGGTATGATCATAAACAATTTTTGAATCAACAAATTGATGATTCAATTAATTTGTTTGCTTCAAACAAAAGGAGATTGTCATTACTTTTTGAATAATAATAATATGATGATAATATGATATAAATTAAATTAAATAAAGTGGTTTTTTGTTTAAAATGTATTAAGTATGTTCTTTCTTATAAATATTAGAACTAATAGTGTAATTTTATATAAAGTAAAATTTGTTTTTATTTAAAAAAAATTTTGTTTGCCCCCCTGAGCTGCATCTCTGCGGGCGTGCCTGTTAACAACTATAAATCGTAATGTAAACACAATAACATAATAATATCATTAGTAAGTATTTCTAGTAAATAATTTAACTTAATTTATTAGGTACAGTTCAGTTTCAACTTCTGAAAAAACCAGCAGTATATTGAATTTCGTCAGGCTAAGAACAATTTAAATGTAGGTGCATCAATTACCATATTACATTATACAATTCCTCATGGATTTATTTACCTAAAACTAAAATATCGGTTATTTTATTTAGAATATTAATATTTGTTTTATACAGATTCGAAATGGAGTACCAACTAGAGCAAGAATTGAAAACTCTAATGCAATTAGGAACTTCCTTCAGGACCTTGCTACAGATAGAAGTCCTAATCGTGTATTCACATTTCTAAGGCGTGCTGGTCATCGAGTAGATGGGTATATAGCCCAAGAAATTGGGCCACATCCTGGTACGTTTTTCAGTTTTTGAATTGCCATTTTATTAATATAAAAACATAAAAATAAACATGTATTTACTTACAGGCGAAGAAGAGCTTCTTCTTTTTGAGGCTGTGCAATAAATGTAAAAAAATTGTTTATAAATACTGTAAATTTGTAATATTTTGTATAGTTTGTAATTAATGTATATGTTAGGTATGTACAGTTTTGTAAAGTATTTGAGTAAAAATATTCAATAACTTATTAAAAAAAGTACCAAACTTTATGAGATATATATTTGGATGGTCCAAATTTACATAATATTGATTATTTGTGTGTACAGTAGGTAATTTACAAAAAAAAAATATTAAGCTGATATATTAAAACTTGACGTTACCAGTTATTGTCATAATGCATTATATTATTTTTCAATACATTTTTTTGTGTAACTATAAATATTGTCAATATTGTGTGTAGGTATACAAATAATAATTGCACAATCACAAAACAAAATATATTAAACAACATAACAACATGTTACTTACCACAATCTACTCTGGAAATAAATTATTATTTGAATCTTTGATAATTGAAAAATTGAAACTTGAAAGTTTGAAAATAATAAAATATTAAATTTTAAATGTCAGCCGTTTGGCTTTTACAGACTACAGTTCAAAGTACTTCAACTTCAAACTTGAAATTCAAAACATAACCTCAAATATATATTCGAAATTCAATTGGTATTTTCAATTAAATGAACTGGTAAGTGATCAGACTGTTCAGTGAATCATAATTTAACTTATTTATTTGTTTGTGACCACCACAGACAAGTTAATTTAATTGAATCATTAATCAATTCTACGAAAAGTTGTTACTTATGAAAATTATACAAAATTATATTAACCATTGTAAATATCCAGTATACAAGAAGTCTCTATATCTATTTTATGGTTTTTATAGATCAAATTTGAATTTAAATAATGTAAAAATATAAGTTTGTCGACCCATTATAAAGACAGTACATAAAAATCATCTACGGTTTATATGAAATTAAGTAAAAAGTAATACCTAATAATTAATATTAATCTCAATTATCTACACACCAAGTAGGTCTATCTATTTAATTAATTTTTTTATTTATTTTAAACAAACAACCCATGTTAAGTAATGTTTGCATAGGTAGGTACTTGGTTTATTAAAATGTAATAAATCCATAACTTTGTTGGTACCATATATCTTACCAAAAACAGTTAATAACTATTATTAAAATGTATGTAAATAAATATGAGTGTAGTTAATTATTTTCCTAATAATATTATAATTATTACTTTTTAAAAAAAAAATTTTTAATTTATATATACATTTTTATTATATGTGAGCGATTCACTGGTTGCTGAGGGTTAAATAATGTACATGGCCGGAAATATGTTAAATGGCTAAGGACACTGATGAACCTAGCTACAGTCTACCACTTTGAGATTATTACTTCACTGTTTACTATAATATACCATACTCTATTGATTCGATTATACGGTCATACGCTATGGATATAACCGCCATGTGGAAACGTTAGTGGAAACATTTTTTTTCAGAAGAAGTTTTTCCAAACAAAACAATCTCTTAAATGAAATGGGTACATGCACACATCAGTTACTGCATCTTGCTGACTAAAATTGGAAAAAAAACCAATTATGATAATTAAATAATTATGAAAATTGTATTAATTTAATGGCTCAACATCATATTTTAAATCAATTTAGTAAAATAGTAACCAATCGACATTATTCATAGTCTCAACACATAGTTTTTCCAATATAATATAGCAAACATCATTGTGTTATAGTTGTGAACCTATAGAGTATACTTATTTATGATTATCTATAAAAATAATAAATAACAATATACACATGTGAACTTTTAATGTTTATTAACAATTAGTAACTCTATCACCATTTACCAGGACTTTAAAATATATTAAAATGTAACAGTAAACAATAACAAAACCTCAGGTGTTCAATCCACACCTGACTGCAACTTTGTAAGATAAATAATTGTCGTTGTAGTGTATTTGTTAAGTTATTTCAGATGTATCAGAGCCAATAAGTACCTAATACATTCAGTGGAGGCGTAAACTGTTTTTCCTATGAAGCAACTGCCTTAAATAAATACCCACACCACATACCAATTTTATTCACATTTTACACTTATTATTTCCCAGACTTTAAAAGCAGGCCCTAAGAGACCATGCGAGTATAAATTATAAACTAGTCTAGCCAACTAGGTGTTTGAGATTGGAGTCATTGAGGTACCCACTGTAGTAAACCGTGTTTACTCCTTATACTAGGCTTTTCATAGTATTGTATTTTTATTAACATGTTTACGTGTTTTTTATATGGCCTACGTGATCAAATCCACGTAGTCACAAATACTTAGAATTTATAATGTATAATTTTATTGATTACGAATGTTTTTACAATTATGATTATTATGGATATATGGCGTAAACAACTAATATGTACATTTTAAACGTAAAGCCTATCCGATGACTTTGTCGGGGTCACGCCACGAATAAGGGTCACGGGTATATAGGAAGCATTAGTTTAAAGCATTTTTTAGAATTAGTTTGTGTCTCAGTTAATACAGAACTTAGTATAGTCGTTGGGCTTGTCCCCAACATCGCCGCTATACCTAAGTTCATTCCAATTTTTACAGTACTAATTTCTCGGGCAGACACTTTATGTTCTGTCCTCAAAATTCAAGTGCAACTAAATTACTTTGTTATTATTTTTTTTTTTAATTTACTTTATTAAAACATACTGTTTTTAACTTATAATATAACATTGACTTTCTTACTTATTTCAACATACCTTTTTTTTTTGTGACTTGATCTACTATCAACAACGAGACGTCAAAGCACGTCATTAAATAATTAAGTGTACAAGTGTAGTGCGAGAGTACTACACCACCTTCACTTTTGCATGAGACAGCTGCCTCGTAAACAGCTATTCACGCCTCCACTAAATACATTATAGAGATTGTAACACTTTACAGAACTTACATAGTTACATGATTTGAGTTATGATGGTTTGAATGTGATTGTTGTAGATTGTAGATAGCATAAATTTAACTTGTTTTTTGCAACGGTTTTAATTCTTTGTCGATACATTTTACCTAGAAATAATTACACTGTAGTTTAAAATAAAATACACAAGCAGGTTAGCAGCAAAAACTATGTATGACTTACGAAAATCACATCAAAGGTGAACTGTATAGATTTGTAATTTGTTTACCGCACAAGGACAAGTAGTAACCGTATTAATTAATTGTATAAAACATACTTAAAAAGTAAAGAGTAAAAAAGGTAAAATATTTAATAAATTCGACAAAAAAACTTCAAAAAATCAAAATATTAACGTTTAATTTATTATTTACATAAGAATCCAACATAACCTCAAAATTGTATGCATTTGAAGTGTTAACCATTTAAAACTTGAACCGCGGTTACACTAATTAGTAATTCGTTATCAGAATTTACAATCTATAATTATTTGATAACGCAAATTTTTTGTGATTTTTTGGTTTTTTTATGGTTTTGGAAAGCTATCTATTTAACTACTGGGAAATTCGTTACAACGACTATTTAAATGGAATCTCCATAAAATTATCTATCGATGAACATAAGGTTTGACTATTTATCGTTCTCTTATGTGGGATTAATCTCATCCACAAACAGACGACCACAATAGTTCTGAATAGAGTACATACCTAATATTATAATATTCATCTGTCATTTACTAATTAGCTATACGTTTATACCTTTTGTCCAGCGTTAGTAGATTTAAAGACATGTCATATTATAATATTATAACAAAATACATTCAGTAATAATCATTTTCGAGAAGTATACACATCATAAACTTTGATGATTGAAATTTAAAGTTCGTCAATTACCTATATATTTATAAAGAATTCTTCATGGTTAACACTCTTAATTAGATTTATTATCGATAATCTCGTGATTTTTATCAACAACTTTTTTCAAGTTAGGAAAATGTAAATGTTCATTACCAACATCTTGTAAAAAAATGTCAATTTTTTACAAAAACAATTTACTTCAGAAACTAAATGGCTAATTAGTTTCTGATTACCTTGAAGTTTCAAGTTGAACGAATTTATGTGTTGAAAAATATCTGTCAAAAACGCAATAGTTGCTATGTTACTATTATCACTGATAAATTCGTGATAGTCTTTGGCAGACAAATGTGTACTCTGAATTAAAAATAGTTCAATTTCATTCAGTAAGTAAAACCTTTCCAAGACATTGCCTTTGCTCAGCCATCTCACATTATTATGAAGTAATAAATCGTCAAACTGAGTATCATTTTCTTGAAGAAGTGTCTGGGCTGGAGTGAAGATTTTGCAAGTATAAAATTAACAATACTCATTACTGTTTTCATAATTTTTTCCAAACACGGATCCAGTTTGCAGCAAAGGACGCTTTGATGAATGATACAATGGTACGATAAAAGATCAGAGTTGCATTTAGGGTCATTTCTTAATCTTTGAACAAAGCCTTGATGAGCGCCAATCATCGCTCTTGCACCATCGATTGTAACAGAGATAATTTTTTTCAAATTTAAATTTTCTGTTTCAAAATACAATACTACAGCATTGTACAAATCATTTCCTTTGCTGGTCCCAGATAACGGCAAAAGTGTCAATAACTCTTCGTGAAATGTCCCACTGATATTGCTCAAGTATCTCACGTGAATTATTAGCTGAGATGTATCTGTGATATCTCAAGATTCATCCAAGGCTATAGAATAAAAATCAGCAGTAGATAGATCTTGTTTCAAATGATTGTGATTATCTTTGGCCAGTACTTCAGTATTTCTCGTGTTAGTGGATGCTGATATTGGGATATGACGAAAAGTTTCGAAAATTTCCTTTTTATTTTCAAACAGTATATTTACAGATTGAAGCATATATTCTTTAACAATATCAGCATCTGTAAATGGCTTCATATGTTTACCGAGTATCCACGAAATTTGTAAAGATGCCTGTGCACATTTCTGTTGTTCAGTCATTGCATGGCTCAAAATTTGAGTTGCCGATTTATATTTCATTTTTAGATTTTCAATTTTTGTTTTACGAAGCCCAGCACCCAACGGAAATTTTTCGGCAAATGACTTGTGTGACTCATAATGCCGTTTGATATTAAACACTTTCATAACAACCACTGTTTGATTACAAATCAAACAAACAGGCAAGGCACCTACTCTATCTGGTCAAATAAAACAATATAAGTCCATCCATTCAGGACAATTCAGAGTTATTAAAAAAATCCATGGACACCACTCAAAAACAACCAATTCCCCATCGAACAACAAAGCGACATACGCAACGAATAAGGCAGTAACTCAAAAAAATCGAAAATTGAGTTACTGCTATGGCGTTATAGACATTTTTTCGCTCTATCTTCTACGAAAACGGCAGTAACTGTATCACGATTGTGAACAGAGTAAAACAGGATCTAAAAATAGTTGGAAATAGTGAAATCCCAAGAAAAAAGAAGGAACTTGAGTTACGTCATCATAAAATACATTTTACCATCGAAGATTGACGTAAATTGAGTTACTTCTTTTTTCTTCGGATTGTTTTTTTCTTTCAAGGAAGTAGTACCTAACCACGTGTAAAATAATTATAATATTATAATAATAATATTATAATTATTATTTTATAACATACTTAATATCATAACATTGTTATCACTGTTTGTCTTTTTAAATGCAATAATAGTTAATACAGTCAATATTTAATAATATTATTTAATGGTTGGTACTACCTACAGTACTATAATATTTTATATTTTTATTCTTTATAAATAACTAAAATTAATTTCCAATTTCGTCTTGATGTTAATAGCAACTATGATAATAATATGATATTATGAATCATTATCATAATATTATAATATTATTATCATAAATTATGACTGTAATAATTATTAATTAGTAGGTACGATTCATAGTTTTGTTATTGTACATTTAAGAAATTGTTTGATTTCTTTTAAATTTTATGTTCAGAGGGAAGCAGTTAACAATAAATATAACAATATGGAAGTAAGTATTATTTGATATTTTATAATATATTTAAATTTTTGAAGCATAGTAGCATATAATTTATATTAGTTTATATTATTATTATAAATTATAACTTAAATCCATCAGATTTCAGAAAGTCATCAGCTATACAACCATGACATTGATGCAATGTCTTTAGGAACCAGCAGTATTTGTAGTTTTTATTCTTATGGACAAATTAGTAGTGATGAAAATTTTGAGTTTGAAGATAATGATTTTGATGACAGTGACAAAGATCCCGATTATTTACCAGAAAGTAATAATGTTGGAGATCAGAGTACAAATTGTGATGTGCTAAAGTAAAAGGTGAACCTTATACTGTTTTTGAAATGTCTTACAATGATTTCTTGGATTTTAAACCACTAGTTGAGAATAAAAATTGAACTGGAAAAATTCTGATGAAAAAACATTAATCAAGTGGAATAATATAAAAGAAGTGTCTGTTAATTATGAATTTCCTTATGTAATTCAGATAAAGTACAATTTAAGTTCAACAGATTCCATACAGATATATATTATAAAGAAAGACAAAGAGGCCGATATTATGACAAACGCATAATTCCCATAAGAGCATATAAAGAACAGCTGTGTGTAGAAGAAGCAAAAATCCAAGACCTTTTATCTCTATGTAAAAAAGGTCTTATACCTAAAACTTATCATTCATTTTATGAAAATCTCAAATCAAAAAAAAATGACTTAAATAATATTATTAAAGTTCCATATTCTTATTAATTACTACTACATTTTGTATTTTAAATGATGAAAAAGGTTTTTTTTTTTTCAAAATAAGAAGGGATCTATTGGTATTGTTAATGATAATACAATATAATAATATTTCTAATTATCATTCATTTTACTATTATAATATTATTATTATTTTATATTATATTCAAGGTTGAAAAAGGTATTTTTTATTTTGTTTTATATTAATTAAGAAGAAGTTACCTACTAAAAAAGTTACTAAAAGTTACTAAAAAGATATTTTGTATTTTGTTTTATATTAATAAAGAAGAGGTTACTGCTTTATATTGGTCATATTTTATCCCCGAAAATGGTGGTAACTTGATTTAACTCCTTTTGTGAAAGGAAGTAACTCAAAGAAAACCCAGCGAAATCCAAACTTTAATGAAATTGATATCAGGCCATATTTAGTGATAAACAAATGAAATGTTGTGTAAGTTTCAATAAAATCCAAATAATATAAGAATAAGAATTGTAATTCAAACTTTAATTTGCTTCTACTGAAAAGTAGCGAAAATTGAGTTACTGCCTTATTCGAAAGGTTAGGTTAAAACTGAAATTTCAATTAGATTGGTTAAACCGTTTTCTTTTGTTTGTTTACTCCGAAAAAGTGCAAGATACACTGTGTAAATGCTATGTACTATTTGCCAATAGGGATTTTATATTTAAGTTTTTTTTTTGTATAAAATATATAAATTGTTTGGTTTTTTTCTTCTATCTACTTAAAAGTTCAATATACTTAGGTAATCGTATGTGCATATAATAATCAAATACATTTCTGTTCTGTTCGACATTCGTAATATATATTATTTAAAGTTTTATTTATTACTATTACTATTATTATTCCTAATATTAATATTTCCTAAATATACTTAGATAGGTACTTCTGAACACTGAACAAATGACATACATAAAGTTTGAATATTTAGCATAATAATTGTCTCACATTAAAAATAATGAGTAAGTAGAAAGAAATTGTTTTATTATGTTGCTGTACAATAATTATATTTGTATTGCTATAATTTGTAACCCACCAAAAAAAAAAATTTATTCTGTATACGTACCTGATACAACACAACAATATCATAAGAAAAAACCAGTTATAAGTAGTTATTTCACTAAATATCAGCATAGGCATCCTATATTAATTGTTGATATAAAATAAGTTATATGTCGAGCTTCGTATATTATTATTCAATACTTAAATTAATCAATATTATACTATATGCTATAATTGTATGATGTTATAACAGGGCTTGCATTTGAAAAATAAATTTTGTTTTACGTTGTTTACAATCAAAACGTTATACAAATTTTGAGTTTATCGTTATTCAAAAAATTAAAACGTTATTCAACTTTTGTGTTTATCGTTATTCAGAATTAAAACGTTATACAATTTTTGCGTTTATCGTTATTTAAAATTTAAAAGTATTTAGATACCTGTTTTAAAAGTACACAGGCCGCAATTTAAAAGTATACGACTATGACCTTTTTTTGGGGACATAATTTCCCTATTCTGAGTTTTAAGTAGGTATTGCTTAATTTTATTTATTTAATTAAATGGGTTAAACTAATACAAAGAAAACGTATGCACGTTAATACTATAAGTATATTAGTATAAAATATAAATATTAAACATTTGACAACAATTAGACAAACACTGACGAGTGAATAAATCTGAGCAAACTGAACACCGAACACAATAGTTGATTAACTTGAGTGGTATAAATTTCGACCGTAGTACATATAGTACAGTACAATATCATCAGAGCATCACTATTATTAGCTATTGGTAATTGAATTATTCTATTAATAACTTCTTATTAAGTTTTAAAATAATATCTAATACGGGATCTCCCGGATAGGCCGGATACGGAATAAAATTAATTCTTGGATTGAATAAATAATTGAATACTACTAAGTATTATTAAATAATTGGGAATTAATTATTTCGTTTAATGGAATACAATATATACCGTTTTGCGTTATGTTTTGTTTAATGATACATCATATATTTTGTTAAACGTTACGTTTTGTTTTGTGTTATTTATTTATTTACGTTTATCGTTTTCCGTTATAATTACGTTTACAAATTTCAATCGTTTTTTATCAAATATAACGTTATAATCATAACGTTATTATAACGTTTGCAAGCCCTGTGTTATAAGCAATATACGGTTAAATTCGTCATCTCGGTCATATATTATGTTGTAACTTGAACGCGTACCTATCACCTTTTGATGTTTTGCCAAAACACCGACAATCGGCGGATCGGCGGTTTGTTACAGAAGTGTGATACACGAACACAAAGTTGTAGGATTAAATATTATTATAATTATCTTTAAATTGGCCTGTATAATAACAGCTTTATAATAATAATAAAATATATAATATGTGTAGACTGTAGGTATAGTAAATAATTTTAAAATATTGTATACAATAAATATGATGAATATTAAAATTAAAATTAGATGATTAAAGTGATTACAAAGTTTAGTATACTTTATCATAAGCCATATATAATAATAGTATAATACTTGTCTACATAATGTAAAACATTGTAAACCAATTTTATTTATTTTTAAGAATCAATAAATTCAATCAATAATAAAAAATATACATGACATTTCTCAAATTAGGTTTCTGAAGTATACTAAGCTAGATTTAAAATTAGTTAAATAAATGTGTATGTTTAATACTTTTGGTTCACTAAATTAAGTAGGTATAATAATTAATATTACATAAATACTAAAACAGAATCATAATAATTAATAATCATATTTAATATAGAAATACTAAATTCTAATACAAGTATTAGATAATTTGGATATAATGTAATGCTGTAGAAATTACATAAATAATATTAAACGTCTTACAACCAACAAATATTATTAGGTATTTTGACGCATTATTGGTAATTATTATAGATCTTCATCATATTATACATTTTTACCTAATATTTAAACTCAAATATCAATAAATAGATATTATGAGTATAACTATAAATAAATATCCTTCAGACATTAGACTACTGATAGTGCGCAAATATCTATTCTCATATATTTAAACTAACATAATATCCTAAATATATCAGAATGATATTAATATTAGAATATTAAAAATTAATACATTTTGTTTTTAATTCTTGTAACTTTCTCATATGAATTTTGAACATCCTAATATGTATTCGATTTCGATTCGATGTAATATTGTATTTATTATAAATATCTACAAATTGCTGTAAGGAAAGCGAATATAAATCTCAGCGATTTAAAATCGAGTCCGCTTGTGAACTACTCGCCTAGTGTGTAACCAGCTTTAACCATAATTTAATATTTACATTGTGA